TTAATTTAACAATTATTCCTGCAACTTCTTTAATCCAATCTGATACTAAATTATTTTACTAATTATATTAACTTATTAATAATATAATATATGACATAGTCTTTCCACAACGCCTATATGTTCTTTCGAGTATCATCTCGGGACAACAACTCAATAATAGACATAACAACATCGTAACAGAAATACGATTTAAATAAATTGCAGAACAACTTCATTAACACATTATGAACATTCACTGACAACTAAAATTATAGGACATATAATCTTCACAGAATCACAATATACCCGAATCGACAACAATTCATGCCACAAATTTATACAACCCAACCTCACATACGGTTTATCATATACCCAGTCATAGAGATTGAACTCCACCCTTAACTGGTTTGGATTGAAGGTAACTCTAAGGGTCTCCGATTGAATCTCCTCTAGGACACTTTGTGTAACTTCCACATATCCCTCTTCTTCTCCTCAAAACCCTTATTTTTCTCTTCTCAGCAACTTCTCTTGTACCAAAACCTTCCAATATTTTTTCTCTCTAGATCAGAATCAAAGCAGAAAATTTTCCCAAATATGCAGCTGCAGTGCGATGACGATATCTCCCAACTCAGACCTTATTTTGAAGATCTCAACAGTCAAAAGTTAGATATAGGTGTTGCGAACCTACCCTCAAAATTTGAGCATAATTCAACAGTTAACGAATCGGGGATTGCCGATTTAGTGAGACTGCTGCAATAAAAACGGGAATGAGTTTCCCCCATCTATTCTCTCACTTTTTCTCAATTAACCTAATCCCTTTTATATCCACTTAGCCTTGTAATTATAGTAATTCTTATTGGGCCAATATCCACACTCTCATATTTACTACATGACATCACTTAAATAAGCCCAACAAATAATCTTATAATGCTCCAATATATTTAATATTATTAAACCACCATTTAATCAAATAATGTCACTGAGAAACTTAACAATATTTCATAATATTGCTCAAATCCAACTAATCATTTTAATTAAATAATTAATTAAATTATCGGGGCGTTACAGAAACAAGTGGTGGATAAGCATGTTCTTCTCTGAGATGGTTCAGGTGTAAACAATTAGTTTAGTATATCGTGAATTGCATGGGTGCAGACGTTAGTGCTACTGAGTTGTTTTTCTAATTTCAAAGGAAGTATGAATTCGAGAATTATGCCTAGCGGTCAGTTGAAGGATCCTTGAGATGGAATAATCAGGGACTAGTGTTGTTCGCATCTCTAAAAGTGAAGGGTAATGTTATGGCTAATGATATTCCAATTGTGGGTGAGTTCTGATGTCTTCCCGGGGGAAATTGCGACTTGTCGTTAGAAAGGGATGTTGGATTAGATTAATGTTACCCTCGGGGTGAACTATATGGAATTAAACCAAGTGATTACGAGGTGTTTTGGCGATTTGATGCAGACTCTCATGCCTGAAGGTTATACAGATTCAAGGTTCTTATTCGTTGGTCAAGTAGAGGCGTCTCTGAGGGAAACAAAATTGTTAAAGATTGCTTCTCATAGGATATAGAGCAATATGACGCATAGAGATATATAAGAGGTGTGTAATTTCTTGATGATCCCCTGAGGACATTAGCTAAGCAAGTATGGTAACTCTTAGAAAGTGGAGCTCAAATGGTTATAATGTTTTCGATGCTGCATGTAGATCGTGAAGTTGTTAGTGTTGAGTACCATTATTTGTGATGTCATTGTTCGGAGTAATGTTGGAGTAATGAATTGCGGATAATTTTGTTGTTGGAATCATGTGAGTGGTTGTTGAATGTCGTTAATGTTGTTGGGTACTTGTGAATCGCGAGACATAATCGAAACCCAAAGATATTAGTAGTATTGTGAAAAGAATTGGAATACTGATGTTTTGGCATGATTGGGTGTCGGTGTTGATGTTGGAATTGTTGAGTTGTATTTGATGTGTCAGTGTTGGGATTGATGCAATATAATTGAGTAATTTCATGCTTTAATGTGTTTACTTTGTGATTTAGAATGTTGACGATGATGTGTGTAGATAGAAATTTTAATTTGGAATATGAACGATGAAATATGTGGAGGTTATGGATATTTGAGTACGAAATAAGTGGTTTTCGTAACATAAAAATCTAATTTTTTACTCTGGTTCAGTGGTAACGGGTTACTGGGATTGAGTAATCGGTTACCGCTCAAAAAATTAGCATTTTTGGCTATTTTAAGGGGTGTAACCGGTTACCGCTATTAGAGTAACCTGTTACCGCGGAGTTGGCAGCATTTTGTAATTCTTTGAAAAATTCATAACTTGAGTTTTGGACGTCTGATTTGAGTTTCGTTTGAAGCGCTAGAAAGCTAACACGGTGAACTTTGTTTTTAAAATGGTTCTAGCACCTGAAAGTAATTTATTTGTCACGTGAAGAGGTTGGATGAGAGGCAGAGTTTGTTGTTGATCTCGTTCTTGGTACCTGACTTGTTCCTATAGCACATGTGATACGGTGGCAGAACCGACTGTTAATATTGGTTTTGCATTTTATATTCACAAATGTGCGGTAAGCAAGAGTCACCATTGACTTTTCTTTTATCCAACAAAGGAAAGGGTGAAAAGAACAGAAAAAGACTTTTTCGAGATTTTTTTTAGTAAGGGGGGTAGATTATGGAAAGGGAAGGTGTTAGCACCCTTTCCATCCGTGATTTTCCACGGGCTCTTAATTACTTGCTCATTTTTAAAATTGTTTTCGTGTTTGTGTGTTTTGAAAAAAATTTGTTGGCTTTATGATAACTCTTGTATCACTCCTCAAGAGTGTGATAAAGCGTTTTTTTTAAAAGAATTTTGAAAGTGTGGTGTAAAAAGGAATTAGATTTGAGCAAGTATTTAACAACTATCTACCTACTCAAAAAAGGTATTCTTTTCCTCCTTTCCTTTAGATAATTCTATCCTACTATTAGTGAGTAGGTATCCTTATCGTTGGATGTTAAGGGACTATCGAAAGGGACGTTTATGGTCATTGAAGGCAACATGTAGAGATACCTTAGCAGTTCAAAGGGACTATCATCATATATTCATAGGCAACATTGAGGGACAAGATCATTTCTCGTAGGCAACTCGAGGGACATTGAGGGACTATGATCTTTATGATGACTTTAAACTGAGGGTCTTTGCTAAGAGTATCCCTACGTTCGAGGGACATGACCATTTCCGAAGGCAACCAAAGCGGGAAATACCCTAGGGGTGAGAGTGTGCAATAGTGTGCTTTTTCAGGTACTTTTATCTTGATGTTAATGATTTAATATTGATTGATTAGTTCTTTCCATACACGCCTAATTTACTAGTAGTTTATATACAGGCATATAATATAGTGCGGAAAATAAAACCTACAGCTATTACAAGGCTTCGGGGTAATTACAATTATATCTGACTGAAAATGTAGAGTGCAGAAAGTAAAAGTCCTAAATAGGCTATTACAAACCGAGCACAGTTACATAATTAAAAAAATAATCGTACGAACAATAACAACACGCAAAAATTAAAACGGGAATAAGTTTGAAACCCTAAAAATCTAATTGCTTATTAAAAATATTTTTGGTATTTTATGAAAAAAAATTAAGATTTAACCTAATTTCTAATTAATTTTAAATTAAAGAAAACAAGTTAAAATTAATTAAGTTAAATTAATTTGCCAGGATTAATTTTAATAAAAAAAACCTAAATCTATTTTTTATGATTTTTTGTTGATTTTATGATTTTTTTTAAAATGAATTTTAAGAAAATATAAACTAATTAAAAAAAAAAGAAAATAAAGTAAATTAAAAAAAAAAATGGGCCTGGAGTGAGAAACCACATTGGGGGTGTTGACTGAATTTTCAAGGCCCAGATCAGTTGGCCCACCACTGCGTTGGATTTGGTAGTGCTGCATCTAGAAGGTCCACCATGGGGCTGCACGGTTGGAGGCTCTGAATCCAAGCCACTGGGATCTGATGGTGTGAGTTTAAGGACACATGGTGTGCATGCTGGAGCTTGAAGCACTGGTTCTACATGAATGCTAAGACCCTGAAACTCTCTAAAACACTTACAAACCAGAAATTACTCAAAACCACCATTGATACACAGTTCTAACCTTGAACTTGTATCTCTCATTTCCCTCGTGTGTTTTCCCTCAAATTCATTTTCAAAGCTTCTATACCTCAAATATAGTCCATCCATGTCCTTGTTTTGGAACTGTAACACCATCTTCATCAACCTCCATAACCAAAAAATAGAGTCTGGAAGTTGACTTCTCCAGACCATTTCAGCCATCCATAGCTCAAGCTAGGCATTGCATTAGCTTCCTGGGAACTTGAGGAAGCTAACCCGATCATCACCATCCACTACAAGAAAATTGGCAGATTGCGACAGGTATTTTTGTAGATTACGACGGTTAAAACCGTCGCAATTTGCTTTCCACGACGGTTGCTTTACCGTCGCAGAAGTGTGTGTCCCCAACCTATTTCGCGACGGTTACAAAAACTGTCGTTCAAGTTTACGACGGGTTGATACCGTCGTGACTATCTTTTGAGTTTCTTTTAATTATTGATGGCGACGGTTCGATACTGTCGTGAATATCTTTTGAAATTGATTAAATTGTTTTTGGCGACGGTTCGATACCGTCATGACTTTTGTTGATTACGACGGTCCGGTACTGTCGCCATGACTTTTGTTTATGTCTTGATTTTTTTTTCTATTATATATATTTTTTATTTAAATTATTATCTATGTAAAAAATTTTAAATATAGTTTTTTATTGTGTTATTTTTTTCTTTAAATTATTTCTTCTTTAATATATTTATTTATAGTATTATTTTTTGTTTTATTTTCTATCACTTTGTAATATAGTAAAAATAATTTCAATAAAAAATATTTAACATCAAATAAGCATTATAATATCCAAAAAAATGTGTGTTCCATAATCATGTAAAATGCGAGTTCCATAATCATGTCAAGTAGTACAAAAAACCCAAAATATATCAATTCCTAATCTTATAATAATAAGTATCATTATGCCAAAAATACATGAGACATTTCGATGAAGAATAGGATCCTCTATAATTGCATGAGTCAGTACAGCCAGAAGTTGGAGCGACGTATGTTGGCCAGTATCGTCCAATGCTCTGTCCATTCACCCAGGCTTCTCCTTTTCCCATCCCCGTGAAATCAATTGCAACTGGGTTACTTCCAGAAGGAGCAATGAAGTTCGTCTAATATAACACATTGAGATTAGTCAGCTGAAGAAAAACATGAGAATTTTAACAAATGCTCTATTCTTATTAAGATTACCTTGTACCAAGTCAAAGGTTGATTTGTAGGTAAGTTAGATTGTGAATTCCACTGTCCAACACTTCCACTAGACAAACCTAAATCTTCACCTTGAAGACCAATCTGCATTCACAAAAATACAGACATGTAATCTATGACTTAATTAAAGAAACTCAGAAGGAGAAACAAAAACAGGCCTTAAGTTAAGCCAAGACTAACCTGGTATGTCCATTGCTGTGAGGAGAGATCAACAGTACTTCCATTTCTCAAACCTTTCAATGTTACTGGACCAGTGATCCCCGCACCCACTAGGTCGTAAAAAGCTCCATAGTTCTGTGGCACATAAAATTCACATTAGCTGAGAAATGAACACGTAGATGCATATTTTGTACTTTATAATCAGAAAATATGAACCTGTAGTCCCACTGTTAAACTCAGGAGATCAATTTTGTTCTTTCCAGATACAAGTGTAATAGGGATGTCCACCTTGACCTTAGCGTTTCCGCTGTTTCCTACTCCACTCCCTGAAAAAGTTCTCGGTATTAACGTATCGAAATTTCATTACATGATTCGTGAAACACGTCATTGAAGTAAAGAAAGATACCTGCAAGTTTCCCATTTATAAAAGCATGAAGGGCGTGACCAAGGGATTCAATGTGAAGAACAGGTTGAGCACCGGCAGTATCTTCAACATCAATGCTTCAAAACAATTTGAAAAAGGTTAACATGGGCACGGAAAAACAATCGTCAAGATAAAGCTATTTCAACCTTGAAATTCCTTATACCTTAATGAATACCACAGGTAGTCACTTCTATCTGCAGTCGTGTTTATTTGTTCAAGAAGTCCAGATTTTGTGAATGCATCATCCTTTGAAATACCGACCGGTTCACTAATCCAACTCCATCCCGAACTTGAACTCCCCAAAGAATCAACCTCTTCTTTTACAGATTCAGTTGCGAAGCTTGAAATCGTAGATGCAGAATTAATCTGTCGTACGAAAAAATAACTTTAGTTTATGCTACTTTGGAAAGAATAAATAGAAGAAAAGATATCACCAATAGATTGATTAATCACAAGAAGTTTAATAATTAGTTTAGTAAATTGAACTATATAGTGTGACTGGAAGTTGATGAGGCAAACCTTTGCAGTATTTAGAACAACACTCTTGCAATCTGGTAAAATGCTCACAGACCATCCAGGCAAGTGATATGAATTGCCGTTGAAGGTAACCGTTGCATCGTTCGTGCCGGTGTTAGCAAGGAAGGCCACACATGCAGATCCTGTCTTGTAAACTGAAGTCTGAGATTGAAAAGTAAATATTAAGAGATATAACGAAACCATTCATGTCAGTGATTAACTTAAAACTTAAACCAGCAAACTATGATGAAAGCTTCGAAGTGCCTATTATTTATTACCTCTAGATTTGGACCAGGAGATGAAATTGTTGGATCAGTAGCTATAAGTGCTTCTTCACAAAGTTTTATGGCCTTATGCAAATCTTTAAGATGCCCCCATTTGGGTTGTCTAATAATTCCTGCATCAGGAAATAACACGTTTTTCATTTTTGGAAACCTGTCTAATGAGTTGCTTGCATACTGGACTTATAGTATAGGATGAGAAGGAATTTCAAGTAGTAGAGTAAAGTTATGTAGTTAGTGGAATCAAGAATCCCATACTGCTAGTTACCAAGAGAACAATCAAAATGTGGTTACATTAAATCACTAATTACTGAATTAGTTGGCACGAACAGAAGAAGTCACAAACACTCGAAACATAAACCCAAGTCAACAAGTTAAACTAAATAGAAAACAACCAAAAAGAAATAAAAGCACATATCACCAAAACTCCATTTAATCACACACTTGAACCCACAATACCTTCACATATCTATTAACTGTCATTACTATGAATTTTGCCTAACTCGACCTTACAAAATTGGCTTGTAAGGTGGGATCCTCGTCTACAGATTCAAGTGTAATCTCAACTAGAAACATAGGTTCCAAGTGTACAGTGCTAACTTCTGGAGACATAGGTCATTTGCTCTATGATTAGAGTGTATGCTAGGGAAGATTTGTTTGTATAGTGTTTAACTGGTTAGATTTGTGTGTCAGTAAGCATAGGGGTGGGCAATGTAATAGTACGATTGATTAAAGATTAGCATGCTATTCTTCAATGACCACGGGCTAAAAGCAGACTGTGCCTTGTAAATGGCGTGGCCTCCCACCTTAAGAGCTAGCGGCTCATCATTCCAAATCTTACCACAGCACACAGAAGTAGATACTAAGAATAAGAGGTAAGGTGGTAAATCTACTCTATTTTCTTTCAGGAAATGCAGAGCCCTGTGCTTGACATGGCTTTCCTAACAAGTTAACATGTCTTCATGTCAAGGCACAGTTTTAAGATAGATCTCCAAAGCACAACGATATTTGATAAATCATATCTAAAATCTGCTAAAATTGATGTCTAAAGAAATAGTCCCATGTTTAGTTTCTACGTTTGGCGATTGCAATGATATAATGAAATAAGATGCATCAAAAAATGCAGAACAGCGCATTACAAACAAATCTTTATGAGGTAAGGAGGTAACATTATAACTATCACTGCTCCACCAATAACCTGTCACAGTAAAAATGATTATGAGTAAATTGTGATGTACATTTTAGAGTCAAGATACAACGCATTCACTGTAATCAGTAAGTTGGAATAGTTAGATAAAGAAGCAAAAGTACCTGCCACCATATTGAAATTATATCGATGAAGGCGATAACTTCTAACGCAAATGTGTTCAATGCTGCCCAAATAACAGTGAGGCCAATGTACATACTCTCCGCCTTTATTCGTGCCTGTCGAGAGTAGGATTATACTCTGCAATGTTTGTGATCCTGCATACGCCTTTCCGAATTCCAACCATGAAAAGTATGAGTTACGATGCACACATTCTATGAAAACACCGAGTCAAAGTTTAACCGAATTAGTCCTTTTACCTGAGTCCCTATCCCAGCAATAAGACCTATGGTTTCAAGCCAAGCACAGCACCATGAAGAAAATGGTCCCCATTTTGGACCGGCTAAATGTGCAGCCCAAAAGTACAGAGAACCAGTTGTCTGTTATAGATTGAATCAAAATTGAAAATTAGTTATGTAAATTATTCACTAATCTTTGAAGCTTAGGGCGAGCATGTTTGTAGTTCCATGAGATTTAGGGTCACATAAATACCTCTTACTAGAGTAGTTGCAAGTGGCGGTTGGATATGCAGCTTCAGACTCGGGTAATTTGGTGAAATGGTCCCAAGCAGGTGGTGTTTTACGAGGACCACTGTCATTAGGCTTTCTCTTCTTTGACAGTTTAGCTGGTAGTGCAGCATGATCAACGATACGTTCAACTTCAACAACATGAGTGCTCTTAGTGAAAATAATGTTAGGAGGCTGCTGACTCCCACCATGATCTCCACCATCTCCAATTATTAGTGCTGAAGTGATGGGATTTGCTGGAAAAAATAAAAATAATGGCTTTATAGGTAAGCAAATACAAGAAAATTGAAAAAAAATAAAATCAAGAAAATTGGCTACTTATAATGAAACAAAATATATATCAGTGAGAAGAACTCAAGAACATACAAAAAACCATACCTAAGAACATAAACCACTTCATCATATTGCCAAAAAAATCTATCATAACTTATCATTTTTCAACATACAAAGATAAAGTTTTTAAATACAACTTTATGAGAAGAGACAAACCGGGAAAGATGAACATATCTCAGCCATAGCAATCCCAACAAACCAAGTGAAGAACTTCGTTACCGATCGAAGGGAGGACTTTCTCGTCGTATTCGAGACCGAGGTTTTGAACGATGACAGGGAGTTTCGCGGTGTCGGGACGAGAGAGGACTCGGAGAGTTAGGTTAACCATTTGAAGATCTTTGGTGCCGGATATTGATGAGAAAGTATGGGGGCGGGTTTTGATATCGAAGATGTAGGGTTTTTGAACCCATGGGATGAGGAAATGGGTTCCCTCGCCGATTGGCTTGTAAGGTGGGATCCTCGTCTACAGATTACAATAAAGGTTTTGGGTGTTTTAACTTTTTAACTTTTTAACTTTTTTATTGCGACGGGTGTTTTACCGTCGTGCCCATGAGAATTTTTAAAGGTTTTGGGTGCGACGGTTGTTTTACCGTCGTGAAATGAATTTTAGGACGGATAATTTTACCGTCGTGAAAGGTTTAAGGGTGCGACGGGTGCTTTACCGTCGTGATATGCCTTTTAGGACGGTTAATTTTACCGTCGTGACTAGTTGTTGGTGAAAAATCAATGTTAAAAGTGTTAAATGGAGGCCGACGGTTGTTTTACCGTCGTAATAATAATATTATGATGGTTAAATATACCGTCGCAAAATAAATATTAGGGACGGTTGGTGTCAACTGTCGTAAACACTGTCTCTATATGTCAATTACGACAGTTATCACATAACTGTCGCAATTTTTGTGTCGTTAAACACTAATTTTCTTGTAGTGATCACTTGAAATAAGCTCAAAATCATTTCACGATTTCCAGTTTTTGAGGTATTTTTCTGAACTTTTATCTCTTCATTTAGACATTGTTAAGCTTGTATTTTCAAAGATAAAATGTAGATATCATTTCCCTGAAGTTGTACATATTCATAGTTTCGATTTATATGGCTTGAGCTTAGAGAATTTTAGGTTTGAATCTCTGAAAAAAGTTAGGTCAGGATTTGGTACTTTTAGAAATTATTGCTCATCTTTTAGAATTAGTTTAAGTTATTTACATATTCATAATCATGGTGAAATTTCTAACAAGTTTGATGTTGGAAGTTTTGTGAATGGATGAGAAATGAGTGAGTTACAGGGACCCTGGCTGGAGGTTGAAGATGAAGTTCGTCTCTGGAACTTGTTTTGTATTATATATTTATTGTTTCAGTTTAGTTAACGGATGTACAGTCACCCCAATGGTAAAGGCAGCGCGCGTTTATGGTCAAGGTCATGGGTTCAAGACCCAGCGCTTCCTATTGTCATATTTTTCCACATTTTCTTCCTTTTCGCTACAAACCAAGCGCGGTGGGCCTCCAGTACTGGGTCCTTACCATTTTTGTTGATTCTGACCCCCTTGTTTCCATTTACCACGCAGGCCCACTTTTTTTTTATTTTGTTTATTTTTCTGATGACAAAACACTATTGGGCCAGGCTTCACAAAAACTATTTTTTTTAACAAACTCCCAAGTTCCATTTCAAACCCCCTGACTTTTATTTTTATATTTTATTTTATTTTTCTTTATTATTTTCATTATTATTATTATTATTAATTATTATTATTTTTATTAATAAAAATCCAAAAATAGTTTATTTATATATATATCTAATATATTTATATTCACTTATATTTTATTCCTTAAAAAACAAAAAGACAAAAGTATTTTCTTAAACAAACTTAATTTATTTTTCTTGATATATTAATAATTAGATTTAGATTTAGTTATTTTCTTTTTTAATTAAAATTGACTTAGAATTTAGGTTTCTTTTAATTAATTAATTTCCATACTATTTTTACTAAACTTAAAACCTTTTTTCTAAAAAAACCTAAAAATGCTTTCTAATTTAATTTCTTTTCTTAATTAATTTAGGTTTAACTTTCTTAATTTAGTTAATTATTTATTTTAGTTAATTAGGTCAAAACTAAACCCTTTCCTCAAAAACCAAACAAAAATCCTTTTCTTTTCCATTTATATCCTTGTATATTATATTTTCATTTCTTGTACATTATTCAATATTCAATATGGTTGTAATAGATAATTAGGTTTAATTTCTTACAATCCCCATTTGTAAATTTGTATACCCCATCCTCAAATGATGTAATAGTGTAGTAAATTTACTTTTCGCAATTTATCGCTTTCATATAAATGCTAGTAATTAAGGTATGTATGGAAAGATAAAAATCAACAAGTAGATAATCCTAATCCAAGATTAAATGCATGCAAATCAAACACAATATTCACACATGCACCCTTAGGGTAATTCAACTTCTTGCCTTACAAAAATGATCATGTTATGTGTTGTATCCCAGAATTTGCCCTCTCATTTTATCAAGATTTTCCTCACAAGACTTCTTAGATTCAAGACCAGATTAGGGTTTGCTCAGCTCAAGACATCTCCTTGCACTAATAACCTGAAATTAGGGTTTGAGTTTGCACAAGGATTTTTGGACCATCAATGGTTCATGTGACTTTCATACACCATCTTGGACCCCTAAGATTGCTCATACCAAGTTTCAAGCCTTGAATCACTATTTTGCCCAGTCAATTAGACAGTTGACCTAAAAATCAGCTGTATTGGGGGAAAAGTCAATTGTGGCCAATTTACAGTCAAACTTCATAATTTTTTATCCACAACAACATTTTAGGCTCATATGTACCATTTGATCAAGTTTGGATCACAACTCCTCAAGAAATTTGATCAGATCATCAAAAGGGCAAAATGGTCAAAATTAGGGTTTTGACTGTAGAAGGGCAATTTCTGATTTTTGATCTAGCCATTGATCAATTGGGTTCA